TATAGCAGCTAGTTTAATAGGGTCGGCTAGGCCACCCGCTCTCTATCTATGACTTGTGTTTTCCTAGCTGGCTTCCGATGATGGTGTCAGGAAACTCCGGATGCTTCGACCACGGGCCACGTATACGTGCTGCATGCTTGCTTGCTATTTATAAGCTCGGTGAGTGGCGAATGTTTTGCGAAAGCGCGCAGTCGGTGGCAACTATATTCTACTCGCGTCGCCAAATACCTTGTTCGTTATAACCGACCGGCGAACAATTGTTATTATTCCCCCCTGATTATATCAGGAGCTAGTGTATAATATAGACTCTGTTAGTCTCTTAATTAGATGTAATCTCGTTATTAGTCTCTTAAGTCTATTCTCTTATTTAGGAATATCAGACTTTCTAATAATCCTCTATATATTATATACTCCTGATTATATACATATATATAATAATATGCGAGTCTGTTTTGGGAATTCACGGTGACAAATAAATATGTGCAATATACGGCATGAATGCGCCTGTAATGTATACGGATCTATAGGGGCGTATGCATAACGGCGTATATATATATATATATATATATATAGGGGCGTATGCGATATATAGGGGGCCATAGATCCATATATTTTTTCTGCATTTCTGCTAAAAGTAATCGGCACCGGGGCACGGTGGGACTGAGGATATACGGTGCATGACACAGATACGGTACAGTATAAGCTAGCTTGCGCGTTATACATGTTTATTAGGTGCGTACATTTAAAGGTTTTATGTCAGAAACGAGTCTTTCAGAATAATTTTTTTCTAATAATTGGCAATAGCCTGTACGTACTAATTAATATACATTATAAATGTCAAACGCATGCCTTCTGGGCGTATAGAAACTGAAAGGAAATATTGGCAAGATTAACAGTCTTGCCAACTGTTCAAGTATCTCTATAGCCATCATGCACGGCTCCATTGAACTGCTTGTAAAAAAATCACAGGCAACATCTGGGAAATTCATGTCACAGAACAGATGGTTACGTTTTACGCAAACGGTAGATCTGCTGATTACGCCCCATCTACCGGACAGTGGCGCATAGCTGTACCCGAACTGCAGCTGAGTATGAGGCGCGATGGGGGGGGGGTACAGATCAATCCTATAGGCTTATAGATCGGCTAGCCGACGGTCGGCGTGTACAGCATCGCGTACAGTAAAACGATATAACGATAAAGAAGTCTTTACGTTGACGTCGGCTAAGTAAATCGGGAAAATCTTATATCTATCAAATTTGAGAGGGCCGCGACGATCGCATATGCTGCTTATCTTAATTACTCATCAGGGATTGTTCCTTTCTCTTTGGCTTCGTGGTTTTCTAGAGCTATAAAGTTTAATCCAGCTGAATGCGTCAAATAACACTGACAATACAATACCCATGCAATGTCTCTAGGTTTGCTAGTTGGAGACGCGTTTATTGATATTGCATCCGTTTGCACTCTGGCGCATATTGCGTATCGCTCTGTTTTTGAACATATATATCGATCGCCATGGAAAGAAGTTCCCGGCTTGCAACAGGAGCGCATGCAGAACCATCCACCGGCAGAGGCGCATCTAGCGGGAGGTTGGGGGGTTGCACCCCCCACCCGTTCAGCCACTGACTACTGTTATGATGATACTAGTAAAATGGGACTAAAAATAAAAAAGTCAGTCTGCAGGCTGATAGAAACTGGGGATTTCCCCGGTGACCACACACAGCTGCCTGAACTGTCAGATCCTGAACACTGTCACATTGGGGGAGCACTAAAACGACCCTAGCACCTCGTGGCTTCGGCACACGTACCTAGCTTCACTCAAATATCAACCCCCTCCCCCCGTCTCCTGAAAGCTAGATTCGCACCTGCAACGGGCTTTCATTTTGTTAATAGATAGCGAGTAGGTGGCTGGGGTACGTCGCTGTATGCTCCTATAATTAATGGGCTTCGGGCTAGGGCATGTGCAGGCAGCCGGTTTTATCGTTTACGTTTATCAACGTTTCGGTGGCTCTCTTCAGTACTAAATTCTAAACGTGATGATCGTTAGATAGCTATCAGAAGTGGTAAAGATTTACTCTTATGACTGGGGCAGACGTAGCTCTAGTACTATAGCCCGCGCGTACAGTTGCCGCTGGCCAGTGGCAACTGTACGCGGGCTATAGTACTAGAGCTAGGGCAGACCCAGTGTGTTCGCGAGTGGCCAGTCACGCCCCCTACTGGACGAACAGGCGATGACGTGATTCATCGCACTTAGCGTGCACTTAGCACCTATATGATACATCGCCACTGCTTTCTTATCTCCTTCTTCCTAGTGCACGGGTACTGTAGATCTTTTATATCAAAGTTTACGAGCACAATGGGCCATACCGCGTTCTCCCACTCAGTTTACTCCGCGATCCGACTTACATGAACTTTTCACACATTTTTTTCGCTATTCAAGATAAAGAAAGCAAGGCAGATAAAAGGAAAGTGAGATGGAGAGTGCGAGAACGGGTGGAAGGGATGGAGGAAGGCAACGGGAGGGAGGGTGAAAGGAAGGCGCAGTAGGAAGGGAGCAATTTATTTCTTCAATTTCATATTTATATGGATGGCTAATATATATGTAGCATGTAATTATCAAACCTATTCTAAGCGCAACTTCTAAGCGCAATCTTCTCTTGCACACTGCTCAAGTCTATCAACGATGCAAGCCAGCTACTACGGCTGCAGCGTCATGATCGCACCACTAACTACTAACAACGTTGAAGCAGTGACTTGAAACAGAAAATCTAATGAAATGCATAAATATGCATTCTTCAGAAGGCCCATGCTAGCTCTTAGGCGAAGCACTGTCAGAACACATTACTATATAACGTCGCCACTGGATCCGTCCAGCGCAGCTATGGTGAAGCAAAAGAGGTGATGTGGTATCGACCGTCATACCATCGTCAGGCGCGAACCCATCGATTTTTGGCCCTGCTTCCTTAATACCTTGGTTAGGTAAACACACCGTGTTGACAAGCGGGGACAAACATCTCCAGCGTCTCTGGTGTTATAATAAATGTGTCAACATAACCTTATTTCGACTATCGCAAGGAAGACGCACCTTCCAAGCGTATTCACGACTTCCATAAAAAAATTATAGCAGCCAAGCAGCGAAATAGGTGTCGCAAAAGGGTGACTGAAACTGAGATAAATGGATCTGCATTCCAAGACCTGTCCTGAACGCCTACGTCAGTATATAGTAGCAGCTAAAAAAAGGCAAGTTTGACGTTTGATATAGTAGCAAGGCAGCTTGGTTACAGGACGGTCATAAATCCGTAATTGGTTGGTGTGACTGTGTGAGACGCCGGACATGTGTACCTGGGGGCGAAAAATAATAGAACCTGTTCACGGAGACTCGAAACTGGAAAGATCTAATGGTATGTGCTCATGTGTTTGAATTTAGGACACATCTGTACAGGTAAGGTAAGTTGGCGTACGTGTCGCGAAGACGTGGCCGGCCTGGCAAAGCCCGCCGACAAAACGCAAACTATTCCAACGCGAAGGACAAATTCATGACGTCACTGCATTGCGCCGCTTACAGTAGTGCCTTAGGCAGATGGGGTCGTTGTCGTATCAGGTACTACAGATATGTACCCGAGGTAGTTTTAGATTGTTTAGTATTATATTTATGTTTTTATATGAGGTATGTTTAGGGTTAGGGTTAGGGTTAAGGTACACTTCTGTAGTACACGTATGGTACACTTTGTGTATACATATATGTACCTCGGGTACATATCTGTAGTACCTGATACGACAACGACCCCTTCAGCGTAACTTAGAGGTGTATAGCCTGAGTTAGTTCACGCAGTTTACTCTGTTACATTTTAATCTATATAGTCGGTTTTCGTCAAGTCATGCCGTGAATAATGTGATGAGTTCTGAGCAATCTGACATTTGTGCAGCATTTGGTTGATGCCCTATAGAAGTACATCAGTATCAATATCTATATCTATATCTATTTCCATATCTATATCTATTTCTACATCTTTATCTATATCTATATCTATATCTATATCTACATTTACATTTACATCTACATCTCTAACTATGTCTATGTCTATGATCTATGTCTATGTCTATGTCTATGTCGATGTCTATGTCTATGTCTATTTCTATGTCTATGTCTATGTCTATGTCTATGTCTATGCATGTCCATCAATATCTATTGAGCCGGATACAGCTTGTCGTTCTGTGTGCAGGGCTTACGAGGGTAGCACGTAATTTATGTTATTACTTCTAACCATGCAATAAAGCTCTCTTGGTCAGGACCGATTTAAATGCCACAATCTCTGCTATGTTATACAGCACACGACCCCGAGTAACGATTAAGGTTTACTTTAATGTGTATAATGATAACAGGATACATGGTCAGTTCTTTGGTGCCACAGTAGGCCTACCTCCAGTTGCAGAACGCTAATACGGAGGCAGTCGCAATCCACTCATAGACAGCTTTACATTTAGCCGCCATCAGAGGGCAGCACGAGTGTGGTACGGTAAGATTTGAACAAGGTTATGCATCTCTACAGCTTGCTGGCCCAAAAAATTATTGTCATTAAAGTTAGAACTAATGGCTGGAAACGTGCGTATTACCAACTCTGCTTTTTTCCACAAGCAAATACTTGTATAATAATGTTCGAGATAAGCTCAATGTTTATTTAACATGAATATTAGAGAATGCTCTGCACATATATACGTGTAAATTAACTGGATGCAAAGAGACGGGCAATTATAGGCAAGCAATATTATGATTGACCATTATACCTATTAAAATGTTCATTTCTCAAATAAATCGGAAAATGAATAAATTTAGGTAAATTTAGTCTCGCCTGTCAGCGTACTTATCACTGATTACTGCAGGATATGAATAATTACGAGTTTCTGCTGTTATAAGCTAGAAGACAGTAAATGAGCAGCAAACCTGTGTCTGCTATCTTGAGTTTCGCAATAATTGAATTTTCAAACGCTCACACAAAGCAAGTGCATGTAGATACGTAAGGCATATATTTATAGACTGGTATCTATCTCGATATGCAGACAAAGGTAACATAGTGTAGAGACAAGTTACCAGTCGATGGCATCTCGCGAGATCGAAAATCAAGCGCTAGATTTGTTAACAATTAAACGTAAAGAAATCTTGGAATTCAGATCGGTGCACATATAATTGGTGAAACGAATGACACGCGAGTGTTCTATGACATGCCAACCTCACTTGGTGTTACATAAGGTGTACTTGTCAGTATCAGAATAGTCGAAAAAATATGAAAACGGTTGGACAAAACATGAAAAATACTCGCTTAAAATTGACCATTATTTGCGTTTTGTAGACAAATTATGCATTATATTATATAATGCTAAAAAAATTACAGGCCACGCCCTGCTCTACAAGAAATAAAAACGCCGAGTTAACCCAAGCGGGGATATATATAGGATATATAAGTTGAAGATATATGGCCGATAGAATTTATGGGAACCGAAAACCGATGGCAATACGTGGATCAGTTTCTCAACAGTTATAATCACAATTTACCTGAATACGCACAGGAGAATCTTTTTCACTACCAATCAAACTTCAACTACTAGTAGCAGCAAAGGTAAGCGTTTGAATGGATACACATTATAGTGCGAGAAAACATATTGGTTGCCCATGAACATAAATGAAAATACGCGTTTGTTCTGTTTTGAACAAGTTATAGTTGAAACGGTGAAAGACAAATAATTTAAATGCGATTCAATAAACACCTCCGTTGGGTTATTTTATCAGCATGTGTAAGCTAGCAGTAGTCCCATCGTTGATCCTCTGTGCCTAGCTGCACTGTGTGCATTCTGCACGGCATCGCGCCACATCCGGGTACACCTCCAGAAAGTTGTCGTGGTACTCTGGCATGTTACTCCTCAGAAGTACCTATAGAAATCAACATTAATCATGGATAAAAGACATTTAAGCATTCATTCATTATTCAATACTTGATATTCATCATTCGATTATTATTTAAAATCCTTAATAAAAGTCATTTAAAAGATTGAAGAAAAAAGAAAAAACCAAAATTTCATTAAAATGCCTCACATGAAGAAGCCACATCTGCTAAAGTTCGCCATTGCGATCCACGTTCCGGGTATGGAATTCATTGATGTTTTTAAATAAACAGCTTGCAAAAGCTTAAAGAAGCATTGTTTAATAAGCTTTCGTACTTGATATAACATTGAACAGTTTATGAGATACGATATTGCAAATTAATGCCCTCATCTAGCCTTTTCTACAGAATCTGTGTTGATATATTAACTAAATAGTATATTGCCCATTGTTCATTTTCGTACATTCAATTTACATTTCAATATCTTACAAACAAGTATCTGAAATATTCTGCTGTCAAAACTAAAAAGTTCTATCAGCGAGTAAAGCTACAGATACAAGTTAACGTACGTCGATACGAGAATATTCGTTTATCCTAGATTCTATCCTTCGTTATCTTAGACGTCTGATGATATATATAACGCAATAAAGAATAGAGATCACCGTACCTTACGCTGCACGATCTGTGCCCGACATTTGCAGCAATCTCGCGCCTGATACTCTACGATCTTCTGCCTTGAGTAGACCAGCTCGGCTTCGGACAGGTATACCTGCGGCACGAGGTACTTCTCCACGGAGTGCACGCACTTGTGACGCGTCAACGTCACCGGAGAGTAACCGTCATAGCGCATGACGTGCGACGTGTCAAGGTCAAGCCGCTTGACGCAGCTTGCCTGCGTCGACACTAGCGTCTGCGTCAGCCAATAGAGTAGCGTCACGACGCCGACGACGTTGCGGAACTGCAGAGTCATTCTGCTATGGCGTCTTTTTTAAGGTTCCTTGATCTATCCACTCGTTATAGTTAATTGCTTTCTCACGATGAATTGCGCTTGTCACCTTCACCGTCTCAGGTCTATCTTTGTCGCAATAGAAAATAAATCGCGCAGTAAGCAACCAGGCAAAGTTGGGACCGACATCGGTCCTCGGCTAGACCTTCTACCGCAGTATGATATCCGCTAGTAGATGGCGCTGTAATCACATGTCCTATCTTTACACGCGAATGGAAAAGCAATCGCACTCGCGTTGCGTAAATTGATGACCCCGAAAATTTTCTCGATCGTTAGCGCTTAATTCCATAATCGAACGTAAAGATCCTTATAGTCTTCTAGAGATGCTAGCAATGTCCGGCTAATGTGAGATTCCTGTACTGACCTGCCACAATCACATGTGCTCGTGTATCTTTGCTCGTGACTGTGTGCCTGTGCATGCACTCGCTCGTGTATGTGTGTGTGGGTTGGCGAGCGCGATGTTGTATCTAGTGTCTATATCGTCTTTAGGCATGGTGGTGATGTGCACATTCACTGTACGGCAACGGTGGACTCTCGGTGAGGCACGCAATCCCGAATTTCGTAGAATTTCCCGAAGACTACGCGATTTCCTGATGAATCGTGGCTAAACACCAGCGGCAGCTGAAATGAAAACGTGGAAACACATACATAGATGATCAGAAGATGTTTTATATCATGACGATACAACTATCCTATACTATATATATATATATGCCTGCCCAAACTTGCAGTCTGCACGGGGTACTAATCGATCAACTATGCAGGCTTCTTTCATTTCATCACGTATTAAAATTCTTTTTCCGCGATCCTACATTTCTATTTCGAGTTCTCTTCCGTGGTTCAGTTATTGGTAAATCCCCTCAACATCAGAGACCATTGATCTGTCCGCTTGGAGTAACAGACAAGTAGCTCTTTCTAAACGACGATGCGATAGCCGCGTTCTTCCAACGCTGCCTAATAGGCTTCACAACGTCAACGATTTAGCGTGTACGCGTGAAAAATAAAATAACGTAAATAATTAAATAAACACGTAGTCTCGCGGACCGCACAACAATATATTATAAATAATGGTAATAATAATAATAATAATGGCGTTGAGAAGAACCTTAAGGAACTCTCTGGCCACCACACTGCCCAAGAAGTGCAGAAAATCGCACTACTGGGAACAGCACACATACTGCGGAAAATTCAGGATTAAATCCCCATGTCCCAGGTTGGGACACGGCCAACCCAGAAGCCATCGGCTAATGCCGTGATCCATTTTGGAAATAATAATAATAATAATAATAATAATAATAATAGGGCATGCTTATCTCGCTCAGACGCCTGCATGGACGAAGGCTCTAATGAGTTACCTCTTTCGGACGCTTCCCAAGGCCGGTGATGAGACATCTACAGTGACCTCGATTATCCAGGTCGTTGATACTTCTCACTAGCGCCTTCTCGATCACTTTGCGTTCGCGACACACGGGCGTCAGCAGTTCCTCTCTCAGCTTCTCGTCAAGCTCTGGTATCTCGTAGCCGACGGGCGGATTCGGTAAGCCGAGTACGATGTCGCACTGGCAGTGTGATGTGCTGGCTGCTGCTGTCGTGGCAGCGAGGTGGCAGCAGATGACCAGACGTAACAGCGCTGTAGCCGCGGCCCTCACACGAGCGCCCACGGGCTGTCTTCGAACGAGATCTGTAGATTTTTGGGGGGATATGTTAACCTGAAGCATGACGACTGCCTACACTCAGATGCAGAATCCATGTTTGGTATTTATTAGACGCGTGATTAGTGATATTTAAGTATCATTAGCATAATAATTATTTATTAATTAATAATTATAAGTATTATAACAAGGATTTATTATCCGTGTTAATGATCGCTTAATTATTTATTGCTATAGCTGTATCCCTGTACAGCTGTGTGATGCACGCTGCCTAGTTCGTTTGATCGGTTTTACTGCTACATTTTGTTGTAAACAGAAGTGCGTGCACACACTGATGCGTGGCGCACACACGAGCATGCGTTATGTAAATTTAATAATATGTACATGCTGCCTGGCCTTGGCCTCAGTACTTCAGCGCGTATTGTGCATCTGCTGTGACGCTAACTACATTACCGATATCGACTGGATCACTGATCGTAGAGAAAACTCAAAACTTTACAATGAATCCACTCATATGCAATCTTTTTATCGCTCTCTCCAATGAAATAAATTACCTCATTCCAACTTTATGCATGTAATAGCAGAAGCGAGTGAGAACAACCATAGACAGCCAATCAACAATGCATGTATTGACAATATTATTGGAAATGTGACATAAGATATAAATATCGATAGAAGCGTCACTCAATTTCCTTTTGTATATGCGTGTAGAACTAGCCGCGATTATAATAGACAATTAATCATTACCTACATTGTAAGTCTTTAGGTATGATTTATACATGTGAAATTACACGAAGCATTTCATTACACGATGCCAGCCATGTCGCATTTCAAAGAAGTGCATCGCTAATTGTCATAGAATTAACAGATAGATACACGACCTTATCAAGTTCGGTAACTTTTTATAGCAATCATTATATTCATATATTCATATATCCTATATATCATGATATATTCTACAAATTAATAGAAATAGCCTTACTTACCTCGCATGTGGGGCGATTTCGTGCACTAGTTACAATCTGTTGATGGACATATCACACTAGACTTCTGACACTATCGATATCTAGACTGAAGTAGATTAAACCGATCAAGGTATATCTGAGTTTCTGCGGCATCGGGAGCTCACGGTGATGTACCGCATGATGGTGACAAGGCACGTGCGGAATGTATACTGCTAGGCCATTTTGAAGGTAAATGCAATTATACTCTCTCCGCGTGTCCTAACCTCTCCCACTGTCTCCACTAAATAGTCATAAACTGTGTCGTTATACGTTCACAAATTCGTCCGCACTTGTTATTGCACTCGCTAACAAACAGTTCCTGTCATTTTAGTTGGCATATCGCATGCGGTTCGATTCCCGCGTAGATATATAGGCCTATATGACGTGGGTAGTTATAGCGTAGGTGAGTATATGGCGTGGGTGGGTTCCCTTAGGTATTGGCCACGTCCGATCGGCTCATGGGGAAAGCGTTGCATACATGACAGCGTTTGACGACCCGACAGACAGAGGTGCTCAGTCAGCGAAACCCGCTACACACTGCCACGCCTCCAAATCTACAAGTTTATATCTAGATCCGTCATGAAGAAGATCAATTCCCCGTGAAATGTTACCGGAACTCCATTCGTGCTGCGGCATTGCCTCGCACCAGCGAACCTATCGGGCACGGCGCAAGCAACACGAGAACGCGTCATGGCGAACAAAGCGGGCTCAAGGGTGACATTACTGTCTGCAGCGATGTCAATTCGTAGAATCGACGCACATTACGATAATAGCCTACCTAATAGTTTCGCCTCATTTAAACTACACGCAATGGCAAGCATCCCCACGCGTGTGTAGTTGATTATCTATGTGCGACACCAACGCATGGGATTAGCATCGTAAATCATTGTATTCACAATTAAATGTCAATGTACATTGCTTTTAGTGTATGTGCATGTGTGTGCGTGCGCGCGTGGGTGTGTGTTAGCGCCCTTTTGTGTGCGTGCGTGCATGGGTGCGTGCGTGCGTATGGTGTGCTAAAATTCACGAAGATTTCAGCAAGGCTGTGTAGAAAACTATTACGATTTTACTCAATGTGACAAATTGTAGCTATACGCGTCCCTAGGCGTGGTAATCTGCCCGGATCTTTTAGTCACAAGCATGCCGCGTACATGTTTTGCACATATTACGTGTCATGTTAATATTGGTGTGATAATTACATTGATAATATAGCCGCGCACGGTTTTACAGTTTCAACTCGCACACGAGCATAAGCACCGAGTGTAGAAACGGAATAATTCATTCAGACAAGTGGTTAAATTCGATAGTTTCCTTAAACATGATTCATGCAGTTAGCTTCAACACAGAACAACACGCCGCACGATGAATGCCTATATACATCAGGCAGGAGGACGCGGCGGGAGTGTATGCATAACCGTAGGCTGAGCAGATTCCTAAGGGGGGAGTAAAATGTCATGGCTCAACTGTGTAATGATGAGCGACGGGCGCAGTTCTTGATCGACGTCTATAGTGTGGTATAGTAGGGGTGGGTCTGAGAGAAGGCCTTCACGGATAAGCGACGAGAAAAATCACGTTAGGGTTATTTACGATTATTAGTTAAGCTTGTTTTTTAATTTTGCTCCAAAATCTAGGGGCAGCTGCCCCCTTGCGTCTCCCCCACAGGCTACGGCCCTGATGTGAGCTCCAGCATCTAGCAACCCGGTGTCTATACCCGCAAAATGTCTAACCCTTTTGAAATGCACGCTACACGGGCTTGCGACGTCACGCACATCAGCCGTGCGGTAAACTGGCGCATGCGCAAAAGTTGTGCAGATATGGCTTCAGCATGAGAAGAATTCCCAAACTTCGTAAAAAGCGTGGCAGCACGAGGAAAAAAGAGGCATCCGATAAATGTAATGAGAAACGCGCTGTCCGCCTTACCTCTCATGGGTCGAACCTTGGTTGATGGCCGCAGCTAACTAATATCATTGATGCATATCCTGCGCTTGCTCTGGCTTTCTCCCGTGCATCTCCGTGCTTTCGCAATGACGCAAGGTTAATGTATTAGTGAAATCTCCGGCCTGGGCATAGGCTTCAATTACGTGTTCTAAGTAGCACAGATGCATGCAAGAATTCTCAAGCCTTCACTATAGTATTTATACAACATTGTGGTTTTTATGCAAACCCGTTCATTACAATACACTTTGCTGCTTGATTATAAAACGAGACTCGCTAAGAGATTTTCGGGAGTTATAGCGCATAACAAATAATAATGTATATTGCTTGCCTATTCTATTGAATATTGAAATATGCTATATTAAATATTGAATATTGAATATAATATGAATATTGAATCGCTATATTGAAAACATGCAAGATTGGAGCTCAGCAGCCGCTGCTTCGCTTCTACATACCGTAGGTGCGTGTGTGTGATTGTGTTGTGTGTGTGTTGTGCGTGTGTGTGTGCGTGATGTGTGTGGTGTGTGTGTGTGTGTGTGCTGCGTGCGTTCGTGCGTGCGCGCGTGTATGTGTGTGTGTGTGTGTTGTTGTGTGTGTGTGTGCGCGCGTGCGTGCGTGCGTGCGTGCGTGCGCGCGCGCTCGCGCGTGTTTGTGTAGGTGTGTGTGTGTGTGTGTGTGTGCGTGCGTGCGTGCGTGCGTGTGCGTGTGCGTGTGTGTGTGCGTGTGTGTGTGTGTGTGTGCGTGCGCCCGATTGTGGTGTGTACGTGTGAGCCCGCGTGCGCATGCGTGTACATGCGTGCGTGTGTGCGTGTAGGCCCGCACGCGTATGCATGTGTGTACATGCATGCGTGCGTATGTCTGAGCGCGCGTGCATGCCTGTGTAAATTTTATGGGCCCCATTGCCGAGTGTATGCGCAGCCAATGTGTCGTATAAATGCTCACAGTGGCGAAGGCTGACATAAAAGCGATGCTTGTGCGACCTCGTGCGTTACCGCTTGCCGTTTGTTTACTTTCTGCAGTTTGTTTACTCATGGTTTCTGAATGATAAACATCGGCGACTTTCATCTGTTTTTTTTTGCGATGCGCACGTGTTGAGCAAGCGTTAAATAATTTATATTTCATATAGCGTGAACGAGAGGACAACATTCCTCCGTCAATAAAAACTGGAGATGCATATAGCACACCAACCCGACAATAAACGCGTCAATCACATCAACATAAACACGCAGCGCATTTTTATGTGGGATAAATGCTACTTTATGACAAAAATTAAATAATTGATAAAAACAATGGAGCTGTGCTGAAAAATGGTTTAATTACACCGATTCTATCACATGTCACTAACTCGAAAAACGTAGTTTGAACAACTAATTAGTTGGTGACAGCTAACAGTCAATAGCTGAATAAAATATAAGCAAATATTCATCTTGCGTAATGTATACTCTGTATATATACTATTCAGTAAGTATAGCAGTAGTTATCGATGTAACATATAACTAGAGTGAGAAGTGAAATACAAACTGTTTGGAAGCATTCTAATGGCAATACGTATTTATATAAAAATTATGTATTATTATTAAATATTAACCAAAATCATAGCGAGCAGCGTTCTATGGAATCCAAAAAGATTTAAACTTATATTCTATCCAAATTGGCCCGTTTTTATTTTGTCAGCACGCTATGCTGCCTACGAATATAGGCTATGGATGAATTATAGATGTACATATTCTGCTCAATTTAACCTAATAGCACAGTGATTAACAACTAGTATACACACATTAATGTAGCCGTAACTAAACTGTACCAGTGATATTATAGAAAGGTTTGCGAGGATGTATTTGACTAAAAACGACGAGTATATTTCTAGACACACAACACCGGTAATTATATCACAGACTTTATTTATTTTACGTCCCCGTGATTATGGACCAATTAAATTTACACGCTGTACAGAGTAACCGACACGCATTAAATCGGGATGATACAGTCTTATGTCCTAAAGCTGACTGTCTAAATCTATGTGTCAAGTCAGACTCAATCCACGAGTGTCGAAAAGACGGATGCTAGGTACCGATGTCACTACGTTGCGATTGTTCTGGTCACATGTGCACAGAATCTATCGTCAATGCGATGATACTGATAATGTGTCGTTGTGTTTAGCGAGAATGAAGGACACACACCGGGTCTCAGTTGAACACATTGGACACACGCGTTACACGCACGTAATACTCACGAAATCTCACATATATTTTTTCGGAGACGGTTCCCGTGGATAACGCACGCAACACGCACGTGATAACCTCGTGATTCTCGCGTGATGACCATCGCGTGACTGTCACAACACTCTGCAAGGTTCGCAGCCGCAGCGGACAATGTAGCGATAGGAGGCGAACACCTCGGCCACGTCTCCCACGCACACCATTCTGACGGCCTTCATGACCGATAGTCTGTCCTTGCACGACGAGCACGTGTAAGCGAACGGATCGAGCAGGATGGGTTTGAAGGTGATCAGCGGGCTGGCGGAAGTCTTCTTGCAGTGCCCCTCGCATCTTGTCATCAGGATGTGCTGGTGATAGAAACACGGAAGCGTTGTGAGTGAGCGAGCCGGGTGAGGGGGAGGGGGGCTTTTAGTAAGTAATAATCCTCTCGATATATTATAATACTGCCGCTTTTATATTCATGTCTTGTAACATGCATTTAGTCGAACAGATGCGTGCGTTCGCCTGGGTTTGTGTGCGTGCGTACTCCCCAAATATATATATATATATATATTGATATTATATGTAGCGCTTAGGCTCTCGTTACCGCCTGCCTCAGTAATTACTCGAAGTGATTTTTATTCGTCAACCGTTTATTACTTCGTTCCATAGATTACTGTAATTTACAAACGATTCTATATTCAATACATCAGAATATACATGAATATACTCATATACAATATGCATGCTACCTAACATAATTCAAGATCAGCTAAAGCACCACAATGTGAAGTTAAGTAACGAATTTGTATAACATTTCTTTAACATAAATAAAGATTTTTGATTTTAAGTATTGTAATATAAGTATGTACCATGTTTTATGGCTACGCTAACTTTACATGGCGGCAGAGTACACTAACTAAAACATATTCGCAACTGTGGCATGCTGCTTTCATTCTCAACCTGACGCGTAAGCAAGGCCACTTGGCATATCTGTTCGAAGCTCTACCAGTCATGTGATTACATGCGTGATTAACCACAGCAAGAGTGAGTCGCCCTCTATAATCATACACTTAGCTAACCTAAAATTTAGCCTTTACATTATGTAAGGTATCATATATTTTATAGATTAAGCTTTCGAGACAGCATGTCACCCAGTAGAACAGAATGAAAACACAGCTGAATGGTGATAGGAGAACACAAAAACTGCGCTTTCCCATGTCGACTAATAGAAAAAAAACAAGCCATTTACAATAAAAACGTAATGTAAAAGTAATGTGATCGCATTTAAAAATATATTTATACAAATATAATTATGTAAATACAAATAAAAATACAAAATGTGTAATCTCTCTCTCTCTCTCTTTGCGTCTGTGCTCTGACTCGGGGAGTTCCTAGGTGCTCCGGTATCAGGGTTCAGGACGGTGCATCTCAGCCTTGTCGTCTTGTGAGCCTCGTGGCACGTGTTCTGTCGGCGGTCACCTGATCACACGATTTGTCTCATTGTTGTACTGCTTTCGGTTGGCGCTCTGGGTCTCCTCTGTGCTAATATGCAGTCTGTCTTTATGTCTTCAGTGCAAGTACTATTCTCTCTCCTTCTGCATCTCTGCTTTGCTCCTCGCTCGTCTCTTCGATATTTGTCACCGACTGAATGCAGCCACTTCTGGGATTCTCCAGTCTCCCCCCCCTCCTCGCATCTTCCTCTGCTCTCTTCTCTCTCCTCTTCTCTCTCGTCATGCCACTACACTATAGTAAATGATGGAATTATATCAAAGTTGCGAGTTATAGTTCTGTTTCTATTCATTAAATTTATTTCTACAGTGTGTTTTGTTCTAGCAGTAATAAATGTACCTTGTTGGTGCAGTTCAGCGTCGGATGACTGATGGTCTCAACAAAGTAATGCTTTTGGCAGTGACCAGCCTCGACATTTGCGGACTGCAGTATTCCGCATATCAGAAGAAACACCGCCAACCATAAAGGCGCCGATCGTAGTTGTCTGCAGTAGTATCCGCCATTGGTAATCTAAGTGTCAATTAACACGAGCGCAGTACGCGAGTTACTTTAGTAAAGCAATAAAAGACCTCGATGTTGTGTTTCTATGTTATATATCTACCGCGTTGCATTTTCGCTCTAATTTCATCGGTAACGATTGACAGAAGTTGACGATTGAAGACAGTCGACGGATAGTTGACAGCTTCTGCATCAATTTTAATTAATAATATAATTATTATTAATAGTAAATTAACATTTAATTGTTATTATAGCTACATTAGAATACAAAATAGTTCATCACTACAGACCTAATTCCCAAAGGGAAGATTTCTATAATTCTATAATAAATATCAAGGGTTTAATCATTACACCTACCGAATATGATGCGTAGCAATTACAATGTTATATGCCCAGCCAACAGTAGTTCGTCAGCTTCACGTGACCAATCTATAATTTTTCACACGACCACGGTTCTTGTACGACGGACTTCTTGTTCGCCGTGACGCACTCAGATCATGTCACCCGTCACTGAGTAAGTAGTGCATGTGTGTGTAGTCGTCGCACACATCTCACATCGCATCTTCCATCGCTCCCTTCTGCCAATCGTCTTCTTATACAACTGTTCCGCACTCAGTTCCCCAAGTTTTCCTGAACCTTCCTCTGCCTCCAATACGGCAAGGTCAATCACTAAAATTCAAGTATCGGCAGTATCAACTCCGTCGGGCCGTGAGGGGCGGGTGGTATGGGCGCGTGTCCTGTGGTCGCGTCCACGCACGCATGTAAGAGGGAGCGCGCGCGGCTGGGTCGGTCGTCGCAACGTGCGGCGCGCATACATACAGGGCTTCTTGCTTCGTCCATCGTTCTCCACACACGAGGCGTGCTTCCCCGTTCTCCCCGCCTTGATTTCACACCAGGCTGTATCTCCCACCCAGCTGTAGCCAGCACTGACGCTCCTATCGGGACATCTGGACGCGAGTCAGTGCGCGATCCCCACTCCGCCGTGGGTTTTCTTCCGCCCATGCCAGACGAAGCAACCACGGCAAAGCTGTGTCGGGGCGTCTCCTAGAGACACGCAGCCGCACTCGCTACATACCTTCGTTCAGCCCCGGTGGTATCGTAAAGTTGATTAAACCCGGCCACATTCCCGATTGAAAGCGGGTCGTTATAGCTTGCGCTGCTGAGTACGAACGAGCTTTTGGATGAACCAAAACCAATAAAGCACAAAGTTACGAAATTGTCTGGCAGGCTGCCTTACGACTATATTTGCATGAATGCAAAAATGCGTATACTGATCAAAGCCGATATTGGGAAACCACTAGCCACGCGATCATCAAGTTTATATATTTATGCCTATATCTACATCTATATTTATATCTATATAGGATATATTCATATCTATAACCATGTTTGTCTATAATATTTATATCTATATCTATTGCTATATCGATAGCTATAGCTATATCTATATTTTTATTTTTCACATCACATTACTAGAGGGTCTATGTTCCCTCATTTTAATCCATACTTTTAACAAAATATTTTTCTTGACACATACGCACGGGGCATACGCAAACAGCCTTAAATGTATGCTAAATTATAAAAAAAAACGAACAAACAGGAATTCGCGTAAAACTTCACTCGCAACAAAGCATCCTAAACGTTATGGGGAAATATCAAACATGGGAATCTTCTATCTTCGCATGAGTTATGAGTGATTGCCGACCGTGACACATGAATGGACTTCAGTTCGTCCCCCTATGAGGATAACTAGCAAGCGCAGTCACTGAGCAATCACTTGTGATAGACCGACCATGTACTAAACAGAGGCCGCAGTGTTTGTCGACCGTGGATTCGCATTCCTTGCTCGTTAGATGAAGCCATTCTACAAGCACGCTGCGACCACACGCGCTTATGCCGCCCTATACGCTACGGCTTGTCGACACAGCAGACGTAGACAAAGGACGCGGAACGTAATGCGACAGTTTATGTTATGCTATATGTGGTGATCGAGACGCGTAGTTAATACATAAAATTTATTAGTCCCCCTGGGTTCGGTCGCGTTGTTGCCTAATTACGTATCTAACTGAATCTATCGATTCACGTTCTGAGCGCATTTCAGATGTTTGTTGAATGTTATCTGACTAAGTGCCTATATCGATTACACCACTTTCTGGTGACCAATTGTCGGTTGGGGCTGTTGGGTCGGATGGGTCCGTTGTAACAAATTGTCGTATTTTAGATATAAATAGTTTGAATGTAATTGAACTTGCTATCTGATTGCATGCATGGTATCAGTTGTGTATAAAAAAAAGTCTACAAAATAACAGTAACATTTACGAAATAACCAATACGTATGCTGCACAACATATGTGTGTGTGTGTATGTGTGTGCGTGTGTGTGTGTGTGTGTGTGCGTGTGTGTGTGTGTGCGTGAGTGTGGTGAATGCATGTGTGTGTGTGTGTATGTGGTGTGGTGTGTGTGTTGTGTGGTGTGTGTGTTGTGTGTGTGTAGGTGCGTGAGTATGGTGAGTGTGTGCGTGTGTGTGCGCGCGCGTATGCGTGTGTGCGTGAGTGTGGGTGAGGTGTGGTTGACGCGCGACGGTGTGTGGTGTGTGTGCGTGTGTGTGTGGTGTGTGAGTGTGGTGCGTGCGTTGTGCTGTGAGTTTATCGTAGTCTACAGACGTCTAGAGTATTCATTTAACCAGTTTTGCAAAAGTGATTATATTAGTTTTATCCATAACTTCTCCTTACATAACACATTAGTACTATAATTGAGATATTATCTACTAGCGTATATACGTAGCTGATATATTGGGTCAGGAGTGTCATCTAGAACTTTTCTAATTAGAGTGCTATTATACGGTCCGATTTACTAAATAAAACATATATCCCCCTAACGCCCTCATATAATCATAACACCTCACCTCATCGCTGAAATAACCGGGGTACGTGCATAAGCCAAATGGTACTAAGAAGGCCTAAGAGCAGCTTCGGAAGCGCAGACCTCGCGCCAGGCGCAGCTTCAATTCTCCCACACACCACGTCCCGCCATTGCAGCAATTTAAATTTGTTAACCCGCCTAACACAGCAATAATTCTTGGCAATGAAAAATTCAAAATTCAATTAATTAATTAATTATAAAATCTAATATGGATCCGGAAATCACCACGCCAACATTGTAATAACTGTCTAGAATTTGAGCACCACTTCCTGCACCTATCCGCTTGAAAGGTTTTATTTAATTAAGTTGGATCCGATCACCACCCACAAATTTAATCATGTGCTAAGTCTACCCGCATTTTCTGACCTATCCTGCAAGGTTTTACGGCTCTGGCCGCCGAGCTCTGTCGCGGTCACGGAGTTAAATTCTAACTAGATAACTCCCGATGGGACACAACCTTATAGCAAGCGCGGTGTCTGATGTTGCTCTTGAATTGGGTGGGTACTCGACTGTGTGTGGGGAGCGCGCCGGGGGGCGCTACTGTGTGACGATACTTGGTCTCAACTGGCCCGCCGGGAGGGTTCGATAGGCTACAACCAAGCGCGTGCTCGCCTTGGTATAGCCTGGTGCCCTTGTGCCGGCCGTATGCTCGATTGTAGGCGGGTATAACAGGGTCGTATAGTTTTGTCCTGTGCATGCATGGCACCCCCAGCGGGGGCGTTGATAACTTTCTGTGGTGTACCGAGTCTTGGTTCCTAATCTAAATCTGGACTGGATATTTTCAATTTTCTCATCAGTTCAATTCACAGTTTTCCAATCATGGTTCACATCATTTTTTCACATGATACAAATTTCGAAAACAATCACAACCGAAGATCATTGGATATTACTGTGTACATCGCGGCGCTCAGCCATTTGTCGTCCGCTCAATCCGTATGAGCTGGTACGGCGCTAGCTGGCGTATGGCGTATGGCTCGCTAATAGATTAGGGAGAGGAAGACAATTTGCTTATTTAAAGCCAA